GCCATATAGAAAAGAGTACATCTGGCTGGGTGCAATGGCTCACGCCTGTAATCCCAGCACTTTGGGAGGCTGAGGCGGGCAGATCACTTGAGGTCAGGAGTTCAAGACCAATGTGGCCAACATGGTGAAACCCCATATCTACTAAAAATACAAAAATTAGCTGGGCTTGGTGGTATGTGTCTGTAGTCTCAGATACCTGGGAGGCTGAGGCAGGATAACTGCTTGAATCTCAGAGGGGGAGGTTGCAGTGAGCTGAGACTGCACTCCCGTGTGTGGGTGACAAAGTGAGACTTCACCTCAAAAAAAAAAAAAGTATATCCTATATGATTGCATATATCCCAAAATCTAGAAAATGCAAACGTAAAAACAGAAAGCAGATCAATGGTTGCTTTTGGATGGCGGTGGACATGGAGAGGAGGGCGGGAGGGATTACCAAGAGTCATGAGGAAACTTTTGGGGTTGACAGGTACGTTTACTATCATGATTGTGTTAGTGGTTTTATAGATGCATACATGTGCAAAATCTATCATATTGCACATTGTAATCTTGTGTAATGCTTGGAATGTCCACTTTTTGTGTTTCAATTATACCTCAAGGGTTATTTTAAAAAATAAAATATTTTTAAAAAACAAGCTGAGGCTGGGCGCGGTGGCTCACACCTGTAATCCCAGCACTTTGGGAGGCTGAGGCCAGTAGATCACGAGGTCGGGAGATCGAGACCATCCTGGCTAACACAGTGAAACACTGTCTCTACTAAAAATACAAAAAATTAGCCGGGCATGGTGGCAGGCACCTGTAGTCCCAGCTACTTGGGAGGCTGAAGCAGGAGAATGGCATTAACCCAGGAGGTGGAGTTTGCAGTGAGCCAAGATCGTGCCACTGCACTCCAGCTTGAGTGACAGGGAGACTCCCATCTCAAAAAAAAAAAAAAAAAAACCCGAGCGCAATGGCTCACGCCTGTAATCCCAGCACTCTGGGAAGCCAAGGTGGGCAGATCACAAGGTCAGGAGTTCAAGACCAGCCTGGCCAATATGGTGAAACCCCCGTCTCTACTAAAAATGCAAAAATTAGCCAGGCATGGTGGCAGGCTTCTGTAGTCCCAGCTACTCAGGCGCCTAAGGCAGGAGAATGCCTTGAACCTGGCGGGGCGGAGGTTGCAGTGAGCGGAGATCGTGCCAGCCTGGGCAACAGAGTAAGAGTGTCAAAAAAAAAAAAATATATATATATATATATGTGTGTATGTGTATAGTGCATAGTTGGAAAAGAAAATACTAGTTTTCACGGGTGATTGGCAGCTAGCTGTAGGTGGAAGAAGTGCATTTTCCTTTGTTTCCAGGTCCCAGAGAAAAACCTCCATGCTGGGTTGATAGCAGCAGCTAGGATCAGTTGCCCAATACTCTGGATTCTCGAGATGAAGACCGTCTGCAGAGGCTGACCTTTCCTGCAGGCTCATGTCCTAAAGCAAATTATTTGCACTCAAATATCCTCCCTTGTAGGACAGAAAAGAAGTTCCCGAGTCTTGGTCACATTGGGCCTGTGGAGTACAGTATCTTTTCTACATATTTGCTTTTGATGTTCTCAGCATCCCTGCAAGGCAGGCTGAGGTGTGAGGAGTGTCAGTCCCAGGGAGCTGAAGGCAGACTGCAAGAGCTGGGTATGGATGCCGCACTCCTGGGCCTGGGCCGCCTGGGTTTTGCTCAGCCTGGGAAGTACTTCCAAATCCACTCCTCCCTAGTCTCTTACAATCCTGTGGGAGGGCAAAGGCCAGATCATCATGGCTCCTTCCACCAACTAGCTGCAGATCAGGAAAGTGAGGTCCAGGGAGGTCCTGACTGGCTTTGCTCCAGGGACAATGAGGCTAGAGGTCTGTTCCCCACAGGAGGACCATGATGGTTCTCCTGCTTCAAATGGCCTCTTTGGAAGGGGCTTGCTCATGTAGGTGAATCCTGGGGCTGAGCAACCTCAGTGACAGTTCCTGAAATGGCTGCAGGTGAGGGAGCAGCATGCAGGCATTAACGTCACAGACTGACATCAGGCCACCTAGACTTACATCCTGGCTCCTCTGGTTTCTGGCTCTTTGAAGTTGGACAAGAAATCCCCTTTTTTTTCTTTTTAGAGACAGAGTCTTGCTCCGTCACCCAGGCTGTAGTGCAATGGCGCGATCTCAGCTCACTGCCACCTCTACCCTCCAGGTTCAAGCAATTCTCCTGCCTCAGCCTCCCAAGTAGCTGGGATTACAGGTGCTCACCAACATGCCTGGTTAATTTTTTTTTTTTTTTTTTTTTGTATTTTTAGTAGAGACGGGGTTTTGCCATGTTGGCCAACCTGGTTGCGAACTCCAACCTCAGGTAATCCACCTGCCTCGGCCTCCCAAAGTGCTGGGATTATAGGAGTGAGCCACAGTGCCTGACCGACAAGTCCCCTTTCTTAACCTCTTTCTGCCTCAGTCGACTTACCTGGAAAACAGAGCACCTACCTTGTTCAAATGAGAAGAGAATTAAAGGAGTATAAGGCCATCAGAACAGTACCTAGACCAAGGGAGGCTATGGAAGTGCTTGTTGAATTAAAAAATGGCTTCATCTCTGGCCTAGTCCCAAAGGTGTGGGTTCCTGCCATTGCCACCCAGAGAGCCCTGGGTGGAGGCCCTGCTGACATCGAATAGTGCCTGCCTGCTCTCCTCCCCTCAATGCAGTAGACACTTTCCAAAACTTACATCATCTTCACTCCAGTGGGATAATGGGAGGCTCGGTGTACCTCGTTCCCAAGATGAGGGAACAGGCTCTGAGAGGACCACATCACCAGCAAGTGACAGGCTGGGACCAAGGCCAGGCCTGTCTGCCTCCTAGACTAGGCCTGTGTGAGGACTGGCCTGAGTATGGCCCACCTGCTTCTTCCTCCATTTAGAGCTTGGGCTGGAGCTGTCCTGGCCAGAGCTCTCTGCCTCACCAGGCTGCATGAGCCACAAGCTGCCACTTCCTGGAACTTGGTGGCCCTGCCCTGGACGGCCTTGCTGGTGGTCGTGAAGGCTCCGTGAAAGCTGTGAACACCTGCATGGCAGTGAGGCCAGCCTTCCCCACTTGATCCGTTTCAGGCTCTGGCTCCGCTACTACGTCATGTGCTTCTGTCCAAGAGGCAGAGACTGAAACCATCTGCCGCCGCCTGGATTCCCGCAGAGCTTGCCCGGGACACCAGCTCAGGTCCTCGCGCACCATCCTGGTAGGAATCTCTCAGTGACGGTGGAGGGTTTGTGGGCTGGCTTAGGGCCAGTGGTGGGCAGAAAGTCAGCAGGGCACAAGGGACCGGAGAGCTTGGCATTTCTCCAACAGGAGTTTCAGGGAGAGCTCAGATGTCTGCTTATGTGACAGGTTTATCAGCCTGCCTGGCCCAGGGCGGGCTCTCATAGTTTTGATTTAAATAATAGCTTGCTCACAGAATAAGTGCATGTTGGTTTGAGCTTTCATTTTCTCATAATCCTCTCCGCTGGCCCCTCCCACCATCTACCCCATTTTGCCTCACTCTGGGGAGCCTGAACCCCCTGTTCCAGAGTAGGGGCATAGGGAAATGCCTATGGCTTCTGAGCTGCTGGGCAGGGCCAGTCCCTAAAACAAGGAGAACTGGGAGGGGGCTGGACCCCGATGGAGTGCTGAGAGCTGAAAGTCCTATTTAACAGACGGGAGGGAGCAGAAACCCCGAAAAGGGAAAGGCCTGGCCAGGTCCCACGCAAGTCAGGAGCAGAGCAGGGCTGAAGCGTGACATCTCCAGTCTCTCCAAAGCCTTTGGGTGAAAAGTCCACCTAAAGCAGTGAGATCAGTGGGGCCTAAGGAAGATCCTTTTCCTCACTGCCTCCATCCCAGTCTTGGGACCCAACACCGTCCCGCCTTCACCCTCCTTGACCATCTCCTTCTGCCCTGAGAGGCTGTTATGCATCCAGCCAGTCTGGGAATGTGCTGGAATCTGTGCACCACGGGGGAAGGATACGCCGCTCACAGTCCTCTGTGGGCCGTGGCTGTGAGGAAAAGTCAGAGCTGGTGGGTTGGGGTGTGTAGGCCCAGGAGGACCCCTGCCTCCTCCTTAGCCTTGGAGCCTCTCTCTGCTGCTGAGTTTCTCCTCATCTAGCAGGGGCCCACTGCCTCCAGACCTTACCTCCTGGCTCAGCACATGATTTCCCTACTCTGGGCCTCAGTATACCCCCCGGACATCTCTAAATTCCTTTCCCGCCTGCCCTGCCTGTCTCCTGGTTGGGCTGAACTGTAACTCCTCACACAGGGCTGAGGGTGACTGTGGCATCAGGCTTCTGGTTGGGATCCCACCCTGATGGTGCTTGGGGAGGAATGGACACGGTTCCCCCTGCCAGGGACAGCCCTAGGACTAAGGCCCCCTGCTGCTGGCTATGCCCACCTCCACCCCCCGCATGCTCTCCCACATGGGGGACCCCCAAGGCCTAGAGGGAACACACAAGCACTTTGTCTGTGCTAACCCCACAGAGCTGCCCCTCACCAAGTACAACAAGCCTAGGGCTGGGTACTGGTGGTGGCAGGCAGCACTGTACCCTGTGGGAGGCAGGCACCAAATCCTCCCACTTAGTCGCTGTGGCCCCTGCCTCTGGTCTGTGCAGCCTTGTCCCCCGCCCAGAGGGCTCTGGTGGCAAGGCTGGCAGCCCAGGCTCGACGTGAGCTTGCTGTGGGGCTCCATGTAAAGCTTTGCTCCTCCTGGGGCTCCCAACCTACTCCTTCGCAGCTCCTCTTCTCAAGGAGCCCAAGCCCTGCCCAGCTGTGAGGGCCTGCTCCCTGGAGGCCTCCTTTAACTCCCCAGCCCACAGGGATGGACCCAGGACCCCCACATCTTAGACTCCATGGGGGATTTCCCCAAGGAACACGTGGGGGAAGGTCAGTGTGACCTTTGTCCCTCCCTTTTGGATAGACACAGCCACCCTTTCTCCCCATCCCAGCAGCAGGGCTGTTGCTCAGTGACCCTGAGGTCGGTGATGCAGAAAAGCAGAGGCGGGTGTCACTCTTTATTGCGGGGTCCACACTATGGGTGTTGGGGCTCCTCCCACTGAGGGAAGGCTGAGCCTCTAGCTGGGGCTGGCCTCCTGGCCTTCTATGAGTCCATTCTCCTTCTGCTCCCTTGATCTCAGGCTGAGCATTTGCACTGGATCTCTGGGGGCCTGTGAGTCCTCCTCGACCTTCATGGCTCACTACCATGTGCTTGAGAGCATCACAAGTCAGTAGCAATGAGCCAGGTGGGTGGTGGGTCACCTGGCGCAGCAGGCCTGGGGCTCGGGTCCCAGCCCAGCAGCTGTGGAGTCCCAGGTGGAGGCAGGGGTGGTGGTTCCGGCTGCACCGCCCTCAGGCTCAAGGTCCAGGCCCTCGTAGATGGTGGGGAGTGAGGTGTGCTGGCTCAGCCGCCGGCGCAGGCCAACCAGCAGGGGCTGGGGCAGGGAAGCCACATCCACGTTGTTGCCCAGGTCTACCCAGGCCAGTGCAGGGAACTTGGTGGTGTCCTTGATGGCATCGGTGAGCTTGCGGGCAGCAGCCTGCGTCAGCCGGTTGCCGTTGAGCAGGAGCTGGGTGAGGCGGGGCAGCACCCACAGGCTGGGCAGCAGCAGGTGCAGCAGCTCATCACTCAGCCCTGTGAAGCTCAGGTCCAGCACCGCCAGCACAGCACCGTGGCTGCTCAGATAGTGTGTGATGTGCTGCACGTCCCGTACCGACAGCGGGATGCCTGAGAGGTCCACAGTCTCCTCTGCCCGTGGAGTCTTCTGGAGGCTGGTCTTGAGGCTATTGAAGGGTGGCAGGCGGGGATGGACTAGGCAACCAGGCAGTCCCCCCACTGACCACAGACAGTGGCCTGTCAGGAAAAGCCCAGGCCTATGGTCTGGCAAAGCCAGGTTCAAACTGTCACTTTCTTTTCCTTTTTTTTTTTTTTTTTTTTTTTTTTTGAGACAGTTTTACTCTTGTTGCCCAGGCTGAAGCGCAATGGCACGATCTCGGTTCACTGTAACCTCTGCCTCCTGGGTTGAAACGATTCTCCTGCCTCAGCCTCCTGAGTAGCTGGGATTACAGGCATGCACCACCATGCCCGGCTAATTTTATATTTTTAGTAGAGACAGGGTTTCTCCATGTTTGTCAGGCTGGTCTCGAACTCCTGACCTCAGGTGATCCAACCACCTCAGCCTCCCAAAGTGGTGGGATTACAGGCGTGAGACACCAAGCCTGGCCCAAACTGTCACTTTCTAAGTGGGTAGCCATGGGCAATGCTCAGAGCCTCTGTTTCCCCTTTAGTGAAAATGGGACGTGGTTGTTGTAAGAATTGAATACACACACAGTAAGGCTCTATCTTCATGAACTATTATTTGAAATCTCACTGTGTGCCCAGCATGTCCACACTTGTTACACTGACATCCCACTTATTTTTCAGATAGGTGAAATAGCTCTTCCATGGCCACACACCACTAAGCAGGGAACCAGGTCCCCAAACTGAGATGCTCTGACTCTTGAGCCCACATGTTTTTTTCCCTGTGCCACTTCTGAGGTCGATTCTTTTAGGGTACGGAGAAATTCTTCTACAAAGGGATGGCTATTAGGCTGTACAGGGCACCAGGGCTAGAGAGGGACAGGACCAGGGTAGTGGGAGGGGAGGTCCTGGGTGTGCAGGCTGGGGACCTGCCCTGGGGGAGGGCTTCCTGTGTTTTCTCGGAAGGGAAGTTCGGAGACTGAGAAGGACCCCCCACCCCCACCAACCCTCTAGGTCTCTCCCCAGTTATCTGAACAGAGCCAACAAGGCAGATAGGCCTTTTGGGGGACTGACAGCAGTGAGCACACCCTCAGGACCCCCACCTGCCATGGCAGGGAACAACCTTGTGCGGTCCAAGCTCAGTGTGGCCTGTTAGGCCCAAGGTGGGAGGGCAGACAGGGGAGGTGAAGGGCAGACAGGGGAGGCCTGCTAAGGTAAGCTCCCGGCAGCAGTTCAGGCCCCTGGGCCTGGGTGCCTGTGGCCAGCTCTGGGCTGAGCCTGTGTGTGAAGCTCCATGGATAGAGTCACTCCAGGATGGAGTGTCTGAGAGGGACCCATGGCAGAGGGAGGTATTGGGCAGCCACGGAGGCCTCAGCTTTAGGCAGCCTGGCAGTGGCAAAGAATTCCCAACAAGGTACAGGAAAATCAGGGTAGAGTGTGGCCTTAGGTATGCCACTTCTCCGAACCTGTTTCCTTTCCTCTCAAATGAGAATCACTATCCAGAATCTGCCTCCCCTGCAACCTGTTGGGAAGTCTTAGCTGAAGATGCCTTCTGAGGTCACCTCAGCTGTTGGGTGGAGGGCTGGGGTGTCCAGGTCTTGTAAGAGGCCAGGGATTGAGGGACGTGTGAACGGCAGGAGGCAGGACTGTCCCATGGGAAATGGCAAACAGGTCACTCAGAGGGTGCAGCTTGGCTTGGGAAGCATCTGCTGCCACAGGTCAGGCTGACTTCCAGGGTAGGGCCCTCATGTGGACCAGGTGAGAGCCTCACCAGGTGGGATTTCAGCACCAGCCTCTTGGTGAGAGTGCAGCCTGAGAAGGGACCTTGGAGCAGCAGTGAGGAGGGGCAGTGGCTGGGCTCCCCTTACCAGCTCTGCGTCTTCCTCTGGCACAGGCTGGACCCTTGCTGCTGCTTCGAGTGAGGGGTGAGGTGGTAGATGAGCTGTCGGCAGATCTTCTCTGAGGACTTCCAGAGCTCGTAGTCTTGTGGGAGGGCAGTGTCACCATGGTGAACCTGAGCCCCTCCTGCCCACTTCAGGGCCTTGGGGAGATGGGCCCGGGCAGCCAAGTGTGTGTGTCAGCACAGCAGTGCACCATGCATCACTGAGCTGCCCACCAGGGCCTCCCCCTCCCACCCCCCAACCCGGCTGTAGCCTGGCACAGAGCCAGGGGAGGCTGCCCTCTGGGAGCTGGACAGGCTGGTCCAGTCCCGCAGTGCCCGGTGGGAGGAAGCCCAGACAATGGGCCCTTGTTCCCTGTCCTCAGGCCCAGGGCCAGCGTCTCGGGCTATCAGCCGGCTGCCTGCCCACCCTCAGCACCCCTCGGGGACTTGCCACAGGGGGAGGAGGCCAGACCAGGCCCCTCGAGGGAGCCCTGCTCCACTGACGCCAATCCCAGGGAGTAGGAACAAGCCAGGTCAGCATGTTCTTCTTCCTCTCACTCTCCAAGCGAGACTGCCCCGTGGGGTCTGGGTCTGGGCTGACAGGGCTGGGGGATGTATTATTCTACAGCACCACCGCCTGGCTCTCTCTTAGTTCTAACTGGGATCCTGCAGAGGCCCAGCTCAGGGCGGAATCCAGGGTGCGCAGCCCACAAAGCTGGCACTGAGCATGCTCCACTGCATCCTTTCTCCAGTCCCTCTGTGAACAGCCCCAGGAGCAGGCGGCACACACAGCAGCTGCAAGCCCTGGCCATTCCTCTGATGGCTGTGGGCTAGGCTCAGAGTCCTAGGGGCTGACTATGCAGAGACCTGGGCATTCAGAGCTGGCAGGGCCCATAGTGGATACCCTTGTTTTGGTGCGGGACTCACTGTCACTAGGAGTCCGGGGACAGTGGCTGGTCCCATGGCAGCCTCATGGCAGGCTCGATGCTCATGGCAGGACATCTGCAGGTGCTGTCAGAGTGGGGCAGCCGTGGGGTAGAGGCTGCAGGTGGCAAACTCCACCCCAGCAATGAGGAGGGCCTTGCTTATGGCCCCAGCTGTTGTGGGTAGAAGCAGTGAGCACCTGTCCCCAAGGGTGTCTATACAGGATGGAGACTGGTGGACAGAAGGGGGCTCTAGCCAAGGGCGGCTCTCTTCTGGCCCAGGAACTCAGAGGCTGGGGGTTTGGTTCCGTTAGTGGATTTCTCAGAACAGTTTGTGTCCCGCAGGGTCCCCATATGACTTCTGCCCAGCTAGTCTCCCCTGCCTGGGTCCCCAGGCCTGGCGCACAGTGCTGCCACACAGAAAACGGGTCTGCCCAGGACTCTGAGGGTCCTGCAAAGCACAGCTCACGCTTGCTGTAGCTGGTGGCCAGCCTAATATACTGATCCTGGCAGCAGGTCTCAGACAGGGACTGTGACTTGCCTAAGGCCACACAGCAAGCCACAGAAGGACCTAGCTTCCCAGCCCGCAGCCCTGGGCTCTGCTGGCCCCTGTCCACCACAGTGCCCAGCCCAGCACCCATGCCTGCCAGCCTCACCTTCTTGGGGCACTGCAGGTCCCGGGCCAGGTTCACAAGCAGGTCATGGGAGATGGGGTCGACCAGGTTGAGGAAGGCCACATCTCTGTAGAGGATGTCAGTAAGGAGGGACCCCTCAAGGCCCAGGTCCTGTGAGTGAGTGGTGAAGAGAAAGTTGAGTGAGCCAGTCAGGTCTCCCATCTCCAGGTCCCACCCCAGCCAGCCAGATGCTGGTTATGCCCCTTCCTGTCTCCATCTCCTCCCTAAGGCTGGCTGTATTCTCCCCACAGGCGACCATGGGCCAACTGTCCAGTGGTGGGTGAACCCTTTCATTTTTCCTTCCTTATTTATTTTTTGAGAGAGGGTCTTGCTGTGTCACCCAGGCTGGAGTCCAGTGGTGTGATCTCGGCTCATTGTAACCTCTGCCTCCTCAAGGGATCTTCCCACCTCAGCCTCCTGAGGAGCTGGGGCTACAGACAGGCACTACTCTGCTTAGCTAATTAAAATTTTTTTTTTTTTAGAGATGGGGTCTCACTATGTTGCCCAGGCTGGTCTCAAACTCCTGGGCTCAAGCGATCCTCCCAAAGTCCTGGGATGACAGGTGTGAGCCACTCGGCCTTTGTGGACCCTTTGGATAAGTAGAGGGGAGGGACATGGGAGCTGTCAGGGAAGTGATAAGTGAATTCCAGAACCCTTAGACCAGTTCCCTCAAGGTGAAGTGTTAGGCTATGACACTGCCTTCTCTGGGCTTAGGGCTTATCAGTGGGATTCTTTGGGGTCTCTCCTCTTATGGACGGGGGTTTGCTCTTCTTATGACCCCTCAAATTCCCCTGGCCCCAGCATTCCCTTCAGACCCTTTGCCTTCCCACCTATCCCTTGGTTTTCCTGAGCTGCTGCCAGCATCTGTTTGCAGACAGGTCTGGATCCTTCCCTTGGGGGCGGACCTCTCTCTCAGATGTCTCAAAGGCATGCTACCCTGAAGCCGGCCTCACCACCCATGCCCCATGCCCCAGTTCAGTGTAGGGCGCCTCCATGCCCATCTTCCCAGGCACTGGGGCCAGAAGCCCTGGAACCCCCCAACACTCTTCCGTCGTCCTCTCTCCCCCAGCTCACCTAGTCATCCCTTCTCTCCCCACCAGTCCTGCCAGGATTCAGGCCTCCAGCCTCCTCTCCTACCCATCCCTCACCCCACCGCCTACACAGACCTGCCCTGGCCTTCCTGCCTCACTCCTCCACTTTCTCCTCCTGTCTACTCCCATAGGACTGGTGTGGGGCTGAGCACTCTTTCAGAGGGTCTCTCTCTCTCTCTCTCTCTTTTTTTTTTTTTTTTTGAGACGGAGTCTTGCTCTGTCGCCCAGGCTGGAGTGCAGTGGCCAGATCTCGGCTCACTGCAAGCTCCGCCTCCCGGGTTCACGCCATTCTCCTGCCTCAGCCTCCCGAGTAGCTGGGACTACAGGCACCCGCCACCTCGCCCGGCTAGTTTTTTGTAATATTTAGTAGAGATGGGGTTTCACCGTGTTAGCCAGGATGGTCTCGATCTCCTGACCTCGTGATCCACCCGTCTCCGCCTCCCAAAGTGCTGGGATTACAGGCTTGAGCCACCGCGCCCGGCCTTTTTTTTTTTTTTTGTGACGGAGTTTTGCTCTTGTTGCCCAGGCTGGAGTGCAATTGCTCACTACAACCTCCGTCTCCCAGGTTCAAGCAATTCTCCTGCCTCAGCCTCCTGAGTAGCTGGGATTACAGGCATGCGCCACCATGCCCAGCTAATTTTGTATTTTTAGTAGAGATAGGGTTTCTCCATGTTGGTCAGGCTGGTCTCGAACTCCCAGCCTCAGATGATCTGCCTGCCTCGGTCTTCCAAAGTGCTGGGATTACAGGCGTGAGCCACTGTGCCCGGCCCAGATGGTCTCTTTAGAGGACACGTTGACAACTGATGGGGCAGCCACAGCGAGGAGGGGCCTCTAGACCCCATGTGGGTCTTCTCCAATCCATAGGTGATATGCTGTGTGCCTGGGTCCCAAGCACAGGAAGTTGGGCCAGGCAGGGGAGTCCGTGGGTCACAGCTGCAGGGTCCCTGCAGGTTATGGAGCAGGATAGGCCCCTGGCTGGACCTCAAATCCCAACCTCTGAGACAGAGGTGACCTAGCTGGTCTCTGAGGATCCTTCTTTCCTCCAGTTTCCCAACTAAAATGCCCAACTGGTGTCTTGGGCTCCAGACGGCATCCCAGACTGAGATCCCTGCCTCTGGGTGCCTGGCTGATTCAGTGCTGCTCTGCTGTTTGCCACAGATGCCAGCTAGGGAAAATCCAGAAGGAAGGCTGGCTGATGAGCCTGGCAGACCCGAACAGGGCCCCAGACCACAACCTGCCAACCTGCCTTCTGAGGGGCTAGACAGCTCCTCTTAAAGGGACAGCTCCATTTTTCCAGCCTGCTGAATCCAGCGTTGGAGGAGGTGGAGAAGGGTAGAGAGGAAGAAGGGCTCTGGCCCTGGCTTGCCCCACATTTTCTCTGTGGACCCTGGGATGACCACGTCTCCCCATGCCTCAGTTTCCCCATTTCTAATATACCTTCTGCAGGCCAAGCACCTGCATGGTTGACTTCCTGCTTACAGGATGGGGCAGGTAGTGGTGGCAGCTGCTGCAGGGGGTGAGGACGGGGTGGTGAGGGAAGTGACTTGCCCAGGTGATGGTGGGACCAGCATCCTGGGACAACCCAGGGCTTGGGATCTGGGTTTAGTGTACCTGGTGTGTGTAGGAGCAGGGCCACCACTGGACCAAGTGTTGTGATGCACATATACTAGGGGTGTGTACTCTAAGGGCATGAGCTGCCTGCTGGAGAACTGGTGATGCATGCGGTGGCTCTGTGTGGGCTGCCATGGTGTCTTGGGGTGAGGCTGCACCCGCAGACCAGCCCTGGGTCCTCTCTGCAGGGTCCAGTGCCTCCCCGATCCTGGAGGAGGGGGAAGCTACCCTCTTCCATTGTCTCTCAATACAAGATGATTCGCCCTCACTTGCCACTCCTCCCGGGCCCCTCCCATCTTGCCAGGGCCTGAATTTGGGCTCTTAGCTCCAGGCTGGGGCCACCCTGAACACACACAACCCCTCTCAAACCGCAGAGACCCGGACACACTCAGCGGCCCCCTTCTCCACACACGGTCCGCCGGCCTCACCCAGCCCTCGCTCCAGCCGGCCGCCCTCTAGCCCACTCAAGACCCCGCGCCCAGCAGCCCGTCGCGCCCTCGGAACCCGTCGCTGTAGCCACATTGTCACAGTGGAAGTGAATGGTGGAACCTACCAGGTACCTGTTGCCCTCCTTTTGTCCGTTGGGAGGTGGGGCCAGCCAGCCACAGGACACTACTGGGATGAGGTCAGTGTGGTCAGTGAATGCTCATAGCACAGAGTAGCCAGGGCCTAGGACACCAGTTAGAAGGGTTCTGAAGGGTTACCTGGTCCAACATCACCCTGGCCATGGCATTTCCGCCACCCCCCGCCTTTTTGAGACAGACTCCCACTCTGTCACCCAGGCTGGAGTGCAGTAGCGTGATCTTGGCTCACTGAAACCTCCACCTCCCAGGATCAGGTGATTCTTGTGTCTCAGCCTCCTGAGTAGCTGGGGACTACAGGCGTGAGCCACAATGCCTAGCTAATTTCCTGTATTTTTAGTAGAGACAGGGTTTCACCATGTTGGCTAGGCTGCTATCGAACCCCTGACCTCAGGTGATCCGCCCACCTCGGCCTCCCAAAGTGTCAGGATTACAGATGTGAGCCACCACACCCGGCTGACAGCCACTGCATTTCAGAGCGGGGATGGAGGCAGAGGGGCAGGGGCTGGGGACTGGCATCAGAGCAGGAGGTAGTACCACACTCTTGCCTTCCAGTGCCACACTGCTCTCTCCAAGAGGCTGGGAGGTAGCATGCTGAGGGTAAAGAAGGTGGTCTGAGAGCTACAGAAGAGAAATCCCTGGGGCTGGCCTTGGCTGAGCTAAAAAACATAGATGCACTGAATTCATTTTTTCAATTCTGAAACAAATATACTTAAGTGTTAACATGTGTTAGATCTGGGAGAAGGGTTATTTTTTGTATTTTTTTCTGAGAAAAGAATTATTTCAGGCTAGGTACAGTGGCTCATGTCTGTAACCCCAGGACTTTGCGAGGCCAAGGCAGGCAGATCACTTGAGGTCAGAAGTTCGAGACCAGACTGGCCAACTTGGCAAAACCCCATCTCTACTGAACACACAAATATTAGCTGCACGTGGTGGTATGTGCCTGTAATCCCAGTTACCTGAGAGGCTGAGGCAAGAGAATCACTTGAACCTAGGAGTTGGAAGAGGTCTCAGTGAGCTGAGATCGAGCCACCGCCCTGCAGCCTGGGCGATGGAGACTGAGTCTCAAAAAAAAAAATTCACAGTAGCAAAAAGAATAACACTCTCCATATCAACAGTATGATAAGACTGTTGTTCTCCTCACTGTTGTTCTCCTAGAACCCAGGGGTTCTAGGAGAAGCCAGGGTTTGAAGGACAGATACAATTTTTTTTTTTTTTTTTTGAGATGGAGTCTAGCTCTGTCACTCAGGCTGGAGTGCACTAGCATAATCTTGCCTCACTGCAACCTCCACCTCCCGGGTTCAAGCGATTCTCCTGCCTCAGCCTCCCGAGTAGCTGGGACTACTTGGACCTACCACCACGCCCGGCTAATTTTTGTATTTTTAGTAAAGACAGGGTTTCACTGTGTTGGCCAGGCTGGTCTCAAACTTCTGACTTCGTGATCTGCCCATCTCAGCCTCCCAAATGCTGGGATTACAGGCATGAGCCACTGTGCCCGACCCCTCACACTATTTTATCTTTAAACTCGAGCTTTCATCCATGGTTCCCGGCTCATAACTCCTATAGTCCTCATGATAGTCTTTTGTTATAACGTTGGGGCACTTTAGGCCTCAGAAGCAGGACTCGGGAGACAGAATCTCTCTCTTGAAACTTCTCCTGCACCCCTTTCACCTGCCCAAGGCCAGACCCTAATCTGAGTGTGGGTCATAAGACCTCACCGCAGAGAAAGCTCCTGCCCTATACCCTGGAGGAACAAATGCTGCACAGAGAGGCCAAGAAGAATCTGGACAGGCCTTGCGGGGTCTCCCCACCCCGTCTATTAGTATTAGATCACACCCTTTTTGTCTAATGGGATTTCCACATGGTTGTCCATCCTTTAACCATGTCAATCCAATGAAGTCTCCATAAAAGGCCCAAGAGGACAAGGTTAGGAGAGCTTCAGGACAGCTGATCACGTGCAGCCTGACAGGAAGGTGAACAAGAACTCATCCATGTGCCGGGAGGAAACTCCATGGGGATAGAAGCTCTTGGGCTTGGGACCCTTCCAGATCTCACCCTACGCATCTCTTCATGCGGCTGTTTACTTGTAGCCTATAAAATATCCTTTGTTATAAACCAGTAAACTTAAGTATGTGATTCCCGAATTGTGTGAGTTACTCCAGCAATTAATCGAACCCAAGGAGGGAGAAGTGAGAACCCTGACTGAAGCTATTCAGATATTCTGGAGGCCTGTGCTTATGAATAATAGTGGGGGGTGCAGGCGCAGTCTTGTGGGACTGAGCCCTCAACCTGTGGTTTTTCAGGCTATCTCCAGGTAGACAGTGTCAGAACTGAAGGACACCCAGCTGGTGTCTACTGTGGAACTGACTGCTTGCTTGGTCACAGAAGTCTTCTTTGTTGATTGTTGTGTTGTGAGAGGAGAGGAAAAACACAGTTTGACTTTTTTCCTCACACATACATAAAACATGTATAGCAGCTACAGATACCAATGGAGAATCCAGTGCCTTCCCTGGCTGCAAACCTTTTTTATCAACACTAAGACAGTTTCCAAGGGCCGCAATTACCTTGTGGCCTAATGTAATCAACATGACAGAACTTTTCATGAACCTAATATAAAACCAAATTAGGCTAACCAAGAAGCAAGGCCAGACTAGGGGAATGGGAAAAAGACAGTCCCACTTTTGGAATGTACTAAAAGAAGGCTTTATTTCTGAAAACGTAGCTCCACTATCAGATCTCCCTAACTACATGCAGGGTGTCCATCCATAAGACCCAGTTTTGCTAGGAAATGCGGCTCTCACACTCCACGAGTCAGCTCATCTGCTCCGGATTGTGTGCTCGGCAAACTAGACAAGGGCAAGCTGTCCCACACCTCTCACACAGAACTTCTAGAAAGAAGGGCCTCTCTGGGTGTAGTGGTTCACACTGGTAATCCCAGCCCTTTAGGAGGCTGAGGCAGGTAGATCATGTGAGGTCAGGAGTTCGAGACCAGCCTGACCAACATGGTGAAGTCCCATCTCTACTAAAAATACAAAAATAAATAAATAAAATAAAATAAATTAAAAATAATTAGCTGGGCATGGCAGTGCACACCTGTAATCTCAGCTACTTCAAAGGCGGAGGCAGGAGAACTGCTTGAACCTGGGAGGCAGAAGCTGCAGTGAGCTGAGATCACGCCACCACACTCCAGCCTGAGTGATAAAGCGAGACACTGTCTCAAAAAAATAAAATAAAAAAAGGTCCTCCTAGAAATTTATTACAGGAGATTCATCAACCCTTTCACTTAAGACAGTATTCCAGATGCAGCAAGACAGAGAAGGCCAGGCAAAGCCTCATGGCCCCACAGGATCTCTCCATGCTGCAAGGGGAAGGGGTGGCAGTGGATGTGGAGAGAGCAGAGGTCAAGCCCTCTCTGTTCCCAGGCAGTAACAGGGCCCCTTTCTACAAGACACAAGACAAACCTGTATTTTAAAACCTGTGCATGAAGAGCACCTACCTTGGGCCTTGAGAATAGCAGCTTTTCCTCGGCCAGCCCCTGAGCCTTGGTTTTTATTTTTCATGCTCTTTAACATGGGTGCATTCTTCAGCATGTCAGGCAAAATCAGAAAGCGGATTTTGCTGCCACGGATGTATACCTGCTCCAGCTGTGCCACTCGGCCATCTCTGTATGTGACTGTGATGTTGGACATCTGGAAGGAAATCAGTGGCTAATCAATTAACAGTCAACAGCACCAGTGGTGGGGAGGGCCTTGACTGGTGGGAGGGGGAAGTCCAGAAAAGCAGACTGACATTGTGACCAAGCTGGTGAATTACACAGCAATCAACAGTACTAACTATGTACACTAGGGACTGCACTGAGCACTTTACCTAAACAGTCCTCACAACACCTCCAGCGTGGGTATGAGCGCTCCCTTTTTTTTTGAGACGGAGTTTCACTCTTGTTGCCCAGGTTGGAGTGCAATGACGCGGTCTCGGCTCACTACAACCTCTGCCTCCCAGGTTCAAGTGATTCTCTTGCTTCAGCCTCCCAAGTAGCTGGGATTACAGGCATGCGTCACCATGCCCGGCTAATTTTGTATTTTTAGTAGAGGCGGGTTTCACCAGGTTGGTCAGGCTGGTCTCGAACTCCTGACCTCAGGTGATCTGCCCGCCTCGGCCTCCCAAAGTGTTAGGATTACAGGCGTGAGCCACTGTGCCCGGCCGAGTGCTCCCATTTTTACACGTTAAAAAAACCAAAGCAGTTATCCAAGGTCCAACAGCAGAAATGCAGGGAACTCCAGATTCGAACCAGTTGGCCTAGTTTCAGAGCCCTGGCTGTGCAGCAAAGATGTGAAGAGCTCTTGAAGGTGCTAAACTCTAACTAAAACAGCTTCAAACTGCTGGTCCAAACTGTCTTCCCCTGCATTGCCTGGCACTCAGATTTCAAAGGCATCATGAAGGTCACGAGTATATACCAGATGTGGTTCTGACCCTCCAGAGTGCATACTCTAGAATGTGAGACAGAACCCTCTAGCTTGGGTGACTAGGGACTGAGAAATGGAGGTGGTACCACAGGGCCTACACAAAGGGCCTGAAATTACTAGAGGGGTATGAGGCAACAGCTTGCACAAGGAAAAGAGCAGGCACTGGACAGGGTCATTACTTCAGATAAGAGTCAAGTCTGTCAATAGAGGAAAGATCAATAGGGTTAAGGCAGCACTTAGGAAAGATAAATGTGTCAACAAGGATAGACGGTAGGATGGACAAATGGGGAGCCTGAAGGTGAGACCAGCTTGGTATGGGAGGGTGATACCAATCTGCCAGCATCAACCTCAACAAGCACCACGTTTACAGAAAAAGCAGCTCATTGTATAAACCTTCTAAAGGGAGACGACTATAATTTATTTAGAATGGGTCAGCCCATGTTGTAGAGAGATGGGCTGTCTCCCAGATTTCTGTCTGGCTAGATGCCATCTTATACTCATTCATTCTTTTCCTCAAGTGCTAACAGGCCACCCAGCCTCTGCTTGAACACTCAGCGAGAAAAGAACAACTATGGGCTGGGTGTGGTGGCTCATGTCTGTAATATCAACACTTTGGGAGGTCAAGGTGGGAGGATCACTTGAGCCCAGGAGTTTTGAGACCAGCCTGGGCAACACAGTGAGACCTCATCTGTACAAAAATTAGCTGGGTGTGGTGGCACATGCCTGTAGTCCAGCTACTCGGGAAGCTGAGGTGAAAGGATCACTTGGTCCTGGGAGGTTGAGGCTGCAGGGAACTGTGATGGCGCCACTGCACCCTAGCCTGGGCCACAGAGCAAGATCCTCTCAAAAAGCAAACAAACATAACTATGCTCTGGGGCCACCCCTGTTATATATGAGCAGTTTCTAGAGGAATGGTTTCTAGAGGAATAGTTTCTAGAGCTTCCACCCACTATCCCTGTTCTACCTTCAGAGGCACCAGGGCTCCAGTTTCCCATAAATCTTCTGCTCTAGGCTCCTCACTCCCAGCCTGTTATCAAATTTTCATCCAGTTCCCAAGTCCTTACCAATCCTTTTCTTCCCCTGAAGAATACCATAACCTCTAGTGCCACAAATGAACACCAGGTATGGTTAGACTACCCAAGAGAGAAACTGGATACAACTCAGGCTCACCTGAATCTGCTGACAATTGAAATGTGTTTTGGGGCTGGGTGCGGGGGCTCATGCCTATAATCCCAGCACTTTGGGAGACCAAGGTGGGTGGATCAACTGAGGTCAGGAGTTTGAGACCAGTCTGGCAAACATGGTGAAACCCCATCTCTACTAAAAATACAAAAATTAGCTGGGTATGGTGGCAAACACCTACTTGGGAGGCTGAGGCAGGAGAAAATCACTTGAACCCAGGAGGTAGAGGTTGCAGTGAGCTGAGATCACACAATGTATTCCAGCCTGGGCAACAGAGTGAGACTTCGTCTCAAAAAAAAAAAAAAAAAAAAAAGGTGTTTTGGAGACTGTGCCACACTCATGACTCTGTAAAAGACACAAAATAGACCTAAAGACCTACAGATGAGATCCAGCTCTGCCATTTGTCAGAAATGTAACCCCAGATACATCTCCAGGCTTCTCTGAGCCTCCGTTCCCTCACCTACAAAGCTGAGGAAAATACAAGACAACAAAGCCAACATTTACTGAACACTTATTAGACATCAAGTGCTGGCCCAGGTGATTTCCCCACAGCAGCTCATGTCACCTCATAAAATCCTACAAGGTAAAGAGATGAAGTGACATAGCCATTCAGAGGCAGATCTGTCCCCAGAAATCCATGCCCTTTCCCTCTATTCTCCTGCTTGAGGTCACACCACACTTACATGGCCTGGCTGGAGTTTGAACCCAGTTCTGTCTAACTCACACTCTTAACCACTGCATCTGATCATACCTCCTGAAATTGTTAAAAAGTAAACTAGGCCAGGCGCAGTGGTTCATGCCTGTAATCCCAGCACTTTCGGAGGCCAAGGTGGGAGGACTGCTTGAGGTCAGGAGTTTGAGACCAGCCTGGGAAACATAGCAAGAACCCATCTCTACAAAAATTTTTAACAATTAGCCAGGTGTGGTGGTGCACGCCTGCGGTCCCAGCTACTTGGGAGGCTGAGGTGGGAGGACGGCTGGAGCCCAGGAGTTCAAGGGTAGAGTGAGCTATGATTACAATACTGCATTCCAGCCTGGGCAACAGAGTAAGACCCTTTCAAAAACAAACAAACAAACAAACCAAAGTAAACAAGCTAAAGTATATATAAATGCTGTCTCTATTGCCTAACACACAATAGAGACTCAGTAAATGCTAAATCTGATTGACAGTTAAAATGTGTTTTGGGAGTTGTGCCACTGCTAATCCATACTCCCTCCAGCACATAGGGGCACATCTCACTCCTTTCCTCACAGAAGCCGTTGCATAAGTCCAACAAGACTTAATCTAGGCATTTCCATAAATGAACTATGTCCTGGCTGAAGCAGGAGAGTCCAGTGTCATCTGACTCCTATTTTAACCCTAACAATCAGGCTCGCTACTGCTCTCGCTTTCCCTGCAGCAGTGGCTGAGAACAGCTTGCTGTGGACAAAACCCCACAGTCTAATGACACACACGCCTGCTAGAGCTTGCTAATAAGCCTGAGCTGTGTTTGTATGAGAAGCCAAAGGCAGCAACTTTTGAATGAACCAGATCTTAATCAAATCCAGGCAGGAAAACCCAGTTTAATCAACTTTCCTCAACAGCCACAATGAAACACAGATGGTATAAGCCAGGTACTCAACTGAAATGACATCCTGAGTGGGAGAAAGAGATAATCTTTGTAGCACAAAGTGATGGGACTTTCTTAGATACCTAGGGCCAAGATGGAGAGAGTTAGCTTCAGGACTGTGAAGGTGCGTTGGGGTGTCTCAGGCATGTCAATACACCAGAAATGCATTCTTTAGGACAATTTCACACATACACAAAGGCAGAGGCACTTGGTTGCCACTGCTATAATAGGAATATCAACTGATGCCATCTATCTATCTTTGTTCTTAGGAAATACAAAAGTATTATGGGGTAGAGGAGTATGATGAATGCAATCCACTCACAAACAGTACAGGGAAAAAAGTATACGATAAGTTTAAAAAACTGGTTTTCCTTCAACCTAGAGGGCTAGGTGTCTGAAGAAATTCAACCACATTGAATTCAGATATTTCAAAAACTTTCCTAGCAATAGTTATGGGCAATTTTCTGATCCAATCATGTGAGAGCTTCTTTTGGGTTCTCATTTTTATACAGTGACACAATACTATATTCCATACAGAGACCATTTTTCCAAAGACGGCTATTATGCCACAGCCAAGAAAACAGATTTCAAACAGTCCCATCAGCGAGCGATTGGGTGGTCATGTCAAAGCCCCAAAAGCACAATGTCTGCCTGTGCAGAGTTCTGCACCACATTCGCCCATCAAAACTTCTTAAGAATTAAGTCACGTTGAATGTAGTGAAATGGGTTTGACCATTACTCTCTGTATTTGCTTGTATCATTTATAATTTGGTTCCATTTTTATAAAATTGGGGACATATTTTGGAGTCTTGTTATTTTTCTCACTTACGCCAACAGTATTTTGACAGACATGCCATATCCTGCAGCACTGGTGACCAGTGCTTGGCTTGCAGCTTGTTGGAACGAGGAGAACAAAAGCTCCCTGCCTTCCCAGCTTAACCTCAGATGCACACCCTCTGACCATTTCAGGGACCTCATCCTGAGTTTCATATTACATATTTCCTTTTCTTCCTAAAATATATATATATATATATATATATATATATATACACACATACACATACACACACATATATGAGACAGGGTCTCACTGTTGCCCAGGCTGGTCCCAAACTCTTGGGCTCAAGTGATCCTCCTGGCCCAGCCTCCCAAAGTGCTGGGGTTACAGGCATGAGCCAATATGCCTGGCCATATTTTACATTTTCAAATGTCAAAAACAGTGCTAAGGTAACAGGATACCTTAAAACTACTTGAGGGACCATAAAAGACAGTGTATTTTGTACAGGGATGTTGTCAAGGATATCATGTAATAGTGTCTCCTGTATCTGACTGCCAGGGAAATCCACACGATTGCTATTTTAACTTAAGAACATTGGCCGGGCACGGTGGCTCACACCTGTAATCCCAGTACTTTGGGATGCTGAGGCGGGTGGA